AAAAGAGTTTGAACCCATGTTCTTGAAATCACCACAATTTTCTACCATTCAAACTACCAAAATTTCTTATTTAGCTTTCCACATTTTATTTTTACATAAACTTATTAATTATATTTTTCATTCAAAAAAAAATTTATTACTACTAATAAAATTGTTACTATTAAAGTAAATATTTTTCATGGATCTTAAATTTTTTTTATAAGATTGATAATTAGAACAACAAATAAATCATGGGAAAAAAGAATTAATTTGAAGATATGTGGTTGATGTGAGAAAGGTGATTTGAAAAATAATATTTCTACTGTTATACATCAACAAAGAGAGTACAAAATAGTCATCTCATGTTTTATCAAACTTTTATATGAACTTAAGTTACTAAATGACAAACATTAAAGATATATTTGTTTTTTGTATTTCTCTTCTTTTTATTCGACTTTGGCTTTTCCTTCTATCCACACAAATTCTAAGAAAATAATTGAAGTTTGGGTGGTTGGAGAGATAGTGTTAGTCATGTCCAACCATAGGGTTATATCAACAATAAATGGATCAAATAAGTGAAAAGAATTTAAGCCATGCAAACATTAACTTCATAGGATGCTACATATCTTGTCAGTCTTTTCTTTCAAGGTGCAGACCTTAGTGAAATCATAAATTCTAAAAATTACAATTTTTTATAATAACTATATAATTCATAAATTCTGAAAATATAATATTGACTAAATTACGTTTGGTTAGAAAAAAAAAAGTCACTTTAGCTAAATTTTAAGTCCTTATAAAAACCAAGTATTTATTTTAATGCATACCAATATTACCAAATTTCAAAATTGTTCAGGTTCAATAACAATTAAATACAATCGAAAAACATTTTTTAAAATACAAATAAAAAAAAGAATTGAAATGTCTAGATTATAATATAAAAACTAAGATATAAAATTTGTAGCAAATTGACCATAATACCCATATTTAAATTGGTGGTATATGTCCCAAAATATGATTTTATGGTCATTTCTGTTTTGATTGTTAGTATCTGCAATATCATAGGGTTTCTTTCTTTTGTATTCATTTTGAATAGATTTTTTCTTCCTTCATAGTTTATTATTTCTAAATCTTTCTCCTTCGTAGTTTTGAATATGATTTCCAGGGCTTTGGATGGTGAAACAAAGAAAATTAGCATAGAAATAGCATTTTGAGAATTTTTCTTTTTTTTTTTTTTTTTTCTTTCTTTTTATTTTTTTTATTCATCTTTTATTTATTTTTTTTTTAATTTTTATTTATGTGCTTCGTTCAATTCCTTTATTTTATAATTTTTTTAAATATCTGTATATGAATTTTTAGAATAATTGTATCTAATACATATCTCACTAGAAAGAAATAAGCTCTACCAAACATTCTATTAGTCTTATGTAATCATTGAAATTCATAGTAAAAAGTATGGAAGTTGTACTTCTACACAAAGATTCAGAAATGAAAAACTCAAAAATTTAACAGCTTATAATTTTATTAAGTCTTAAATTAATTCATATACTACAGAAAAGCCGAAGTACATACTTATAAGTTATTTATGACAAAACAAAAAATTTTACATGTCCTTAGAATTTAACTGTGAAATATTGCATCTCTGATTCAATGTTATTTTGAAAATTATGGAAAAATTCTTACTGAATCTATTTAAGTTATACTTCATTTTTCTTTAATTTCATATAATACTTTTTCAATATTTTTTTTATCTTTCTTAAGTTGCCTGTATCTATATGTGTTTCTGTGTAAAAGATTTATTATCAACATACATTTTATTCGAACACTCTAACAACAACACTTACATTAAACATTTCATTTAATATAATACATAACTCAAGTTCTTAAATTTAACATATAATAAAATTGTTTTAGTACTCATCAGTAAACAATTGTTACATAAATTTTATGATTTAAAAGAAAAAAATTCATATTCAAATATTATTATTATTACTATTTATTATTATTTGTGTTATTATTGTTATTATCACTAATATTGGTATTTTCTATTATTATTAATAGTATTATTATTAGTATAGTCCATTACTTCTATTAGTATTGATATTATTAATTATACTTTTTATAATCTACTACATTAACTTAGAAAAATCAATATTTAAATAAAACTATTTACTTTCAATATAATATAGAAATATTAAATAGCTGTAATTAATTATTTGACTTTTTATGTTATGAAACTCTATTTAAATATTATATCTATAACTACATCTAATTATAAAACAAATAAATTATTTTTAAAATATAATATTACTTACTTAATTTTCTTAACATAAATTAAAAAGTAAAATATATATAAATTTAGAGTATTCAGAAGAATAATAAATAGCCTCTAATAATTCGAATCTGCTCCCGAAGTGCCTAATACCGAATTGAACAAGAATCAAAATTCAAATCTAATAACTAAGCAATAACGAATCAATCAGCTCACACATTCAAAATAATAAATGCACAAACAAAAAATGTCTTAGCCTCAAAATTTTTAGTAACGACCATAGGAGAAAACTAATTCATCCTTCTAATGAGCTCATTTATATAATTTTCCCTGTTGCCAGCGTCACCTCCTTCAACATAATGATTTCTTTTCTTCTTCAAACCACCCAGGGGAGCTTTGAGCTTGAAAGGCCATAGAAAATTGTTTGCCTCCTTGAAGTGAGGTCCAACAGTCATGATCTCGTGGATCAGATCTTCTATGCAAATTATCCCATGCTTCCCCAAAGTCTGGTATTTTAATATTAGGTCAGTGAAAAAACTAAGTGATACAACAAGCAAGTAATGAAAGTATTTAAGGAGATGACTGTGTACTCCAGACAGACCTGTTCTATTATAGAATTGTCAGTCAGAGGAATTCTCTGCTTGTTCACTTTTCCAAAGCCCCTCTTGTAGATCAATTCTTTTACACTCTTCAAATTAGGGTACCTGATGTGGATTTGCAAATATTAAGAACCCATGGTGCAGTTAATTAAACTTGATAACCAAAGGTGGTTGAAATTTTACATACCCGTAGGTAACATACGGCTCTACCCTATGCAGCATATTCAAGGTTGCTTTGTTCACTTTAAGAAAGACGCCATTAAAAATCTGCAGACAAAATGAACACATCAATAAAGACAATGTCCAACCTTACTTGGAAATTCGGCAAACAGAGAATCCGGTCAGCATCAACAACATCAACGTCAAAATTTAGGAAAAAAAGACAGAGCAAGAAAACCAGTAAAAGTTGAATCTTATATCTTAAAATTAAGCACATAAAGGCCAAGCATAAATAATTAGCGTGCATGATAAGTGAACAACAACTACGCACACAACAAAAGCACCTACACAATCATAATGGTGCAGCAGTGAACTAGAACTGCAGATAGAGAAGTAATATATAGCACCAACCCACTCACACCAGCACACTTTAAAAAAATTGCACATACTTCACAACTCCGTTAACACCATTGAAGCTATGTGTTTCACAATGAACGTGGCTTAGTACGATGATCAAAGAGGGTTTTACAAAACAGTGTTTGGTGGATGAAGTGAATCTTGAATAGCGTGTTTTGCAAGTAGCTTGGTCAAGAAAACCATAAGAACTTCAAAAAGATTCTGGCAAAGCATAATTAACTTGATCCTACCAAGATACACTTAAGATGAATTAACTTCTAATGGATTATTAGTTCAGTATATGGCAAACTACACAAAACCCATGCTTTGTTAGACCAGAAGCAAACTGCATTTCCTTAGATAGGTGACAAAAGAAACTCATTTAGCAACATAATTATTGGCTTTGTCTAAGTTCATGGAGCAGCATTAAAGGATTCCTGTAATATATATAACACACTTGCCCTCTCAAACACACCAACATCGAAAAGCTCAAATAACAAAAGCAATCGCTACATCATGTCTTAGGCCCAGCATTTACACCCCTACTTCCTCAAACTAAAATGGTATTACTTATCGGTTATCGATTATGACTAAGCGACCTCTAAGGAAACTAATAAATAAAAATATCCAGTTGTAGTCGAAAGCTACCTGTCTCAAACGCAGAAGCTGCAGAATCTTCCTTGTTTTGGGATCCATGGCATTGATACTGGCATTTGAGAAATCTCACTTATCAATAATAATAACAAAAAATGGGAAAACAAAAGAAAAATAGTGTTATGATATTGAAATATAATAATTATTTGATAGTTACCCACGAATCCTGATGATGAACAAAAGCTTAGTTTCAGGGTCAACATAAAACCCTCCCTTAAGCTTGGCTTCACGCTTCAACCTAATTAGTTCCTTTTGCTGAAAAAACACATACACACAGACACAAATTAAAAATATATATATATTAAAATGCAATTTATTAAGTGATTTCAATTTCGTTTAAACACCTGCTCCTCGTATTCCTTTGCATACTGTTTGGCTCTGCTAAAAATCAATTTCCGAGTTTCGGATCTCTTTTTCTTCGTTGCTTCCACTTGCTGTTTTTTAGCCAAAGCCCACTCCTCGTTCCTTTTCTCCTTCTTCACCACCGATTCTGGGACCATCGCTTTTGCTTCCCCTTCGCCCATCCTACATACAACAAGGTTTCAATTAATCATATGCGTTCAAGTAACAGCAAGGCAATGCAAATGCAAACAAATTCGAGAGCTTTTGATCATTAATGCAGAATTCATCAATCGTCACTCATCACAACAGCAACAAAGGAAAGCACGGGGTGACTCACTCGATGCTACGCTGCATGCAACGGCGGCAGGGTCACAGAACAGAAATATCTTCGAGTTTTATATATAACATAGGGTTTTCCCTCTTAGGTGCTGCGTTTAGCTTAGTGGGCTTTTTTTTCTGTGCTGAACCATTGGGCTACTGTCCTTCTCGATTAACCATTACTTCTTCTACCCCATCAATTTTATCTTGCACTAATCAATTTTCAAAATTAACTATTTTATTCTCGTAAAAGTGATTTTCGGACTATTATTTCTGCATTTGAATTTCAATTCTTTATTAAATAGAATTTTCAAAACACATGAAATACATTCTGTAACACTTTTTTGGATCAGATTTTCAGACTGAGTGTTTTCCATGTATTGTGGGGTGCAAGAAAACATTTTATAGGTGCAGAAAACAAAGCTTCTTTTGAGCCTATTAAGTATTGGGCTTATTTCTTTTCCTTTCTCCATCACCATGCTCCCTCCACCTCCCCAACCCTCTATAAAAAAATTTAATTGCAAAAGTAGTTTTTTTTTACTTTTAATCTTATTTATTTATTTTATTCTAAAACCCTAAATTCTTACCTAATTTTACTCATCCATTTTCACTCACGCAGCCCCACCCCCCACTCTCCCAAGTCTCACTTTCTCTCTTTCTAGATTCTCACCCCCTCCAACTCTCATCGGATCCGTTTCTTCTCATCTCCCAACTCTTACTTCTCTTCTCCATATTCGTTTGGTTCTTCTTCATATTCTTGTCTCCATATTCGTTTGGTTTCGCGGTGCGGTGGTGTGGCTTTTCGTGGTGCGGCAATGCGGGGTGTTTGCGGTGGTCATTCGACAGTGCAGCGGTTCCAAATTATAATGAATATTTTATGACTAACATCATAAAAAAATAATTTTATTGACATTGATAAAAAATTTTAAATGACATCAATGGAAACAATATCATTAATGTTGGTAAAAAAAATTATTGATTGCAAAATAAATATGGAAATTAACCACAATTGATTGTTAACATGGGAGAAATATTCATTATTGTTAGTAAAATGTGTTAAAGTATCTGTATCTCAATTTCAAAACGATAACAGAATAAGAAAATAAAAAATGTATACATGAATTAATTAAAAAAAATTCAAAACTTCAAAATTCTTACTATTTAATTATAATTTAAAATTTTCTAAATTTAAATGATCAAATTCCTCTCTACAAGTTTTAAAATTTCAATATTTTAATTTTTTTATTTAAATGATTATATAAAATGTTTCAACCTTTTTATAAAATTAACTGCCTCCACAATATTTTTTTGACACATTGCAACATATATTTTTTTCTCATATATCAACATTTTTTTTATGTGAGATTGCTTAAGTCTTTGTATGTTAATGTGGGTAAGTAAAATAAACAATCAGAAAGTTCAAAAGATACAACAATGGAAAGAAGCATAAAAAACAAAGATAGACAAAAGAAAATGAAACATAGAAACATGGGTCCACCATTAAAATGGTTGTGTTTAGAGATGGCAAAAAAATCTGCGTCCGCGGATATCTGCGAGGGATAATTACTATCAGCGGATATTTATTACCCGCGGGTAACGGGTAACGGGTATTTTAATACCCGCTTCTAAACGGGTCGGATGCGGGTATTATACTATCCAACCCGCGGATATCCGTTACCCGAAAAAAAATAAAAAATTTAATTAATATTTTTTAAAATTAATATTTTTTATTACTCTTAAAAAAGGGAAATTTTAATAACAATGACTTGGGATTCCTTTCAATTACTTTTTTTTAAAAGAAAAAAGAAAAAAGGGGTTACATTACTTTTGACCTAAAACCCTAATAGAGATATCAGACATATACATAGAATCCTATTAGAAAATTCTCTCTTAACCGAGGACTCTTTTCTTCTTCCTTCTTGTTCAGCTCGCGCAGGGAGTAGGCTTCATTCCCTCTTCCTCTCTCTCTTGGTTCTGATTGGGGTTTTGTTCCGATTTGGGATTTGAAATTAGGGTTTTATTTGTTCTCTGATTTTGGGGTTTCTTTTGTACGTTTTGATTTGCGTTTTGAGAATTCGTTTCTTGATTTCTTCCCTATTGATTGGTGATGCGATTTTGGGGTTATGATTCGAATGAGTGTTTTGAGTTTTTTTGGATTTTAGTTCATTTATGCAAATTGGATTTTTTAAGTTTGGAGATTTATGTGATTGCGTTCGTTTCATAATTTGGGTTTAGGGTTCCTGTTTGTGTTCTCTTGGAAATTCTTTATCTCTCTGTTTCATACATTGATAGGTATTTGTGGGTTAATCTTGTGACTAAATTGAGACTTCAGTTACGTGGTGTTTCTTCCTCATATCTTTTTTTTTATTAAATTGTTCTCTTTAACTTGTAATTTAATTTTAAACCTTATTTAAAAATTCACAAAATATATTTTTTAAATATTTGTGGGTTGAAAACGGGTATCCAACGGGTATCTGCGGGTTGAAAAAAATCCGTGGATTTTTTTTATGCGGATATCCAGCGGGTAGCGGGTCTAGTTGCGGTATGGTTTTTTGCATGCGGGTCGGGTTGTGAGTAGGCACTATCCGTGCCCGACCCGACCCGTTGTCATCCCTAAGTTATGTTTGGGCGATGAGATAGAAGAGAGAAGAAACAACATAACTGTCAATAACAAATGTTTGTTACTTAGACATAAACGAGACCATCACATTCATGTAGGGGATTGAAGTTAAAAAATATTAACAAAAAAACATTATACTGAAGGGTAAAATAGGAATAAGAAGGTGCAGGGAGGGAGAAAATAGGAATAGGGAAGTGGAGGGAACAAGAGGTGGTGGTGGAGGGAGCAATACCCCATTGGACTTATTCCCTTTATCCATAATTTGGCCTACTGCTTGGTCAAAAGTCATTTCTCAATCTCTTATTCTAAAGTAGAAGGTTACTCCCTACACCATCCCACATTTCTCCTTACACCACCACATTTTTTAAAAATTCAAAAATCATCCTTTATATTTTAAAATAACCTATAGCCCCACTTCTTTTCTTTAACGGATGTCGACATCCGTTGAAGAAATTTTTTTTCAACGGATATGTCACATCCGTTCAAGTTTTTTTTTTAGTTTTTAGTTTATTAATTTATTGTATTTTAAATTAATATGTAAATATTATTTAAATTTTTTTAAAAATTTATTATGTAATTATATATAAATTTATTTTATTTTATTTAATAAAATAATTATTATTAATTTAATTTATGTATTATTATTTAATTAATTATTTAAATAATTTTTATATAATTATTTAAACGGATATGGCACATCCATTAACGGATTTGACCACATCAGTTAAGTTCTTTTTTTAGTGTTTAGTTTATTAATTTATTATATTTTAAATTAATATATAAATGTTATTTAATTTTTTTAAAAATTTATTATGTAATTATATATAAATTAATTTTATTTTATTTAATAAAATAATTATCATTAATTTAATTTATGTATTATTATT